AATCCAACTACCTTTAAAACAACAACACCAAAACTTAAAACCAATCCCCCACTAAAACAACCACACCCAACCAACCCTTTCTCAACACCACCCTCCACTCAAAAACTCTTACTACCTCCCTCAACAACTAATCCCCCACCTTAACCACCCCTCCAAACATTCCTTCCCTTCCATCCCATACTATCACTCTTTCCCTTCTATTCCTAACACCTCCAACTCCATCACTCCTCAACTACTCTCACCTCCTCATCCCCCTTCTACAAATCTACCCCCTCCCTCCCCCACCATTATAACCCCCCCCACCCACATTCCCACAAACCCCCCCTCATAATATTCTCCCCCAAAATTCTTACACCTATCACCACAACTCCAACCCTCCCACCTACCTCACTATACAAACCACTATCATTCTCACAACCCTCCCATTAATCTCTCCTCCCCACCCCCACTCACATCACCCCTCTCTTCCCAATACATTTCCCCCCCATCTCCTCTCCCAAATCCTCCAATCATCCCCCTCTCCCCACCCACCTTCCTAACACATCACCCTCCCAAACCCTTAATATCCCAAAATACCACCCAAAACCCCCCCTCACAAACTCCATATTCTCAACATCCCCAAAACTACACTACATCACACCCAAAACCACAAAACCCCACAACATAATATCTAAAACACCCCCCAAACTATCCTTCTAAAACCCCCCTCCACTAACATTTCCCATATAAATACCCTTCAACCCCTTTATCTTCTAACCAATCCTTCAAACCCTAAACCAAAACCTCACCACCATACAAAACACCAACACCATCACCCCACCCATATACCCAAAACTTTACAACATCTTCCCTATATATATCACTATCTACCATCTACCACTTACCACCCAACATATATACCATACCCCAAATCCCTCCCCTAATCCTCCAACCATCTATAAACCCAACAAAACAAAACAAACCAAAACACATAACCTTCCCACCAAAATTACAAACAAAACCAAACACATATCCACCCCCCACACCAACCCAAAAATCCCATAAACACACCCAACCCCCACCAACCCCCAACACAACCAACCAACCTACCCACAACAAACCCCAACCCCACACACCCCCATCCCCAACAATACACTTACCCTTACCACCTAAACAACCTCCACCCATAACCACCCCCCACCCACCTCCCCCCCCCTTTACTCACACAACTCCAACATTACCACCAAAAACACCCCAACCACTACACAACACAACAACACCCCACACTACAACACAACCTATACCTACACCCACCCCAACACCCATACCAAATATACTTACACTCAAAACAACAAACAAAACACCACACCTAATAATAATAAAACTCCTCTCA